CAGTACCCGTCGAAGTCAAGGTACCCGTACCCGCGCCGTACCCAGTGGAGAAGCCTGTACCGGTGCCCGTGGAAAAGCCTGTACCGTACGCGGTTAAGGTGCCGGTCGAACGGCCGGTAGCTGTTCAGGTGACGAAGCCGGTAGCGGTTCCGGTCCCTAAGCCTGTGCCGTATCCGGTTAAGGTACCGGTGCCCGTTCACGTGCACGATCACGGAGGATACGGAGGAGATTCTGGGGGTCTAGAGGGTGGTTACGAGTCGAGTTACGGCGGTCATTAGAGGAATAGGGGGTATGTATCGCGAATTGGGGGTGAGCCATTCGTCACCCCCATTCGTAACTACGTAGGTTCAATCGTTTAAATTGTCGCGTCAACCTTTCTTCTCCCTCTTGGAGATTGATCAGAGTTTATTATTTCCGACGCGACGGAGGTATATTTATTTCCTAATTAATAATCATTTTCCGAAAAATATATGCATCGCTGAGCCGAATGATGGAGAGAGAAACGAGAAGGGGAACGGCGCAAGCGCAAGATGGACGCAAGCATTTTCTCGAGTGGATCGTTCTTCGGCCAGTGATTTATTTAGAACGTAGTAGTATTATACCCTTCGATACCTGAGTACCTAAGAATATATTATATGTACGATGTATTGTACAAAAGATTCACACGAGGCGTTCGACGAGTTAATTGTTAATTCGAGGACGCCCCTGTACCATGTGTCTTTCGCTTCTTTCTAATAAAACCAAAGACCAAAAATCTATGGTATTTTCGATATTTCTCCATTCTCTCCAAATCACTATCTCCAAATCACGATCCGATCGATATTCAACGAGGATTCTAATACGAATTACTCGCAATCAAAAATTCTGAATCCAGCCACATTACGTTTTCTGTCCGCTTCTAATTTCGTAAGAGCGCTTTTTCGCTTCTCGAGGAAAGCGTCGAACGCGGAACACGCGATATCATCTTCGAATCGACTTTCGCGATGCGCGGTAACGCAACGTTACGTCCGTAACAAACGAGCCACTGTTTCCCGGAAAAGTTCGAAAGCGGCCGGCCAGATGTAACTACGAGAATACGTTAACGCGGAAATAGACTGGTGATTAACACGATAAAAAGTTGGCCGGCAATTATTAATCCGTAGGTAGCCGAAGAAAGAGAAACTTTCATCGAACGTGTGCACGTAACGATACAAAACGGAGGAGTCGAAAAATTTATCGAACGTTGGTCGATGAAGACTAGGCGAACCGAGATTCGCTGACACGGAGAAAGCCTCTTTCTCTCGAATGCATCGGGATGATACAACGAGACTTCAAACTTTGAATTAAGACCGATCGTGAGTGAAATCGTCCCTCTTCTTCTTAGGTGGAGAAATCCGCATATTTCCTCGATGATTTTCAATAATATATATTCAAAGATGTATTCAAAGACTTACCGAATGTACGGGATATTTGCAGGAACGTGATATTTAGCGCCAGGATCGAAATCGTCCTCCGATCTCAAAACAGGGGGCTTGATACCGGCGTATTGCTCCATCAACCTGTGCCAATGACAGTTGTAGTCTTCCCTGGTGACGTAACCGCGGAACACGTCCCACCGCCACCTGTCCATTACGATGCTGAACGGCAACATCACCAATTTATCCATGGCAAGAGTGAACAGGTAATTGATATCCGTTGTAGACTCGTCGATATACTTGTTACCCAAACTTAGAGTCTGAAGATGGCGAGGAGTGGAGACGCTGAGGGCCACGGCTTCACCCACGGCTTCGTGGAATCCTGCGCGAACCAAGATTTTTTTACACTGTGCGCGCGTGTGTAATTCGCGGGGAAAGCGAGGACAGTTACAGACAAATTGTCAACCGCTAAAAATCTTTCAATTTCTTTCACTCCTCGAGAGGTGAAAGACAAGATTGTTTTTGCTATCGTAAGTCGTAACTTTCGTCAAGTGACAACTTAATCCCACCATTATCGACGATTTTCTAACTATCCAATTCGAGTGAAAAAAGGAAAAGTTTAAGGATTGCCATACATCGAAATTTTTCATACATGTTTTCTCTTTTCTTTTCTTCTCTTTTTCTTTTTTATCATCGAGCCAATTAACGGAGTTCGGTTATTTATTTTAACCGGCTCGACAAATATGCAAGGTCGCAGTTATATCGTTCACGTGATTTATTTTCATAGCGTCTATTCCGTTGGGCGAACGACCGGCCGGCAGAACGGTGAAAGCGCGATTATACCATAATAAAAATATTTTAACGATCGTACAGATTGGAGAGTACTTGCACATCCACTCGGACACACCGGATCGGTGCCCGTGCGAATCCGCCTCGACAGTATCGTTCTCGCTCTCGCTTTCGCGCTATTAACCGTACAAGTCTTGTGTGGACCGTCTACCGGAAGTCGGACCCCATTCCTTACGCAACTACCGTGTATCGTCCATTATGCCATCGCGTATCGTTTCCCTTGTTTCTTATTCGTCAATCTCGTTTGTGCGTTCGTGCTTATATTTACTTCAAATTTTCCATCACTTGTGTATTTGATTTATTTCGCTCGGAGAAGAATGTTCGATATATATATATATCGATAGTGTTTGATTTTGGTGGTGATTGACCGATTTTCTCGAAAGAAGAGAAAGTTTACACCTATTGGTTCACTTTTTTTTTTTCTTTAGTAATTTGTGATTGAATTTTTTTAAAATTTAAATTTATATCGTAGGAATAATCGATCAAAAGTTGGGGACGAGGCATTTATATACCTGGATTGGCGCCATCCCTGAATTCACGAGTTAATCCGCTGTATCGTAAGAAATATTCGATATGAGCCATCTCGTGATGCACTGTGATTAAATCCTTCATGGTGACTTTGGTGCACATCTTGATCCTGTAAGAAATATAAAAATTGATTTCGAAATTCGAAAGAGAATTTATTTCCATTCTTTTTTAATTAAGTAACCTGTAATCCAGACGATTGCAGAAGTCCCAAGCGGAAGCCTGGCAAATCAAAGGTCGATCTCCAGGGTCGACGATTATACTTCCGGCCCAGAATTCCGGTGGCATGGCGCTCAGGTTCAAAGATAAGTAAAATTCCTCGGCGATTCTGAACATCTCGATAGGTGTGTAACCCTAAACAAATTTTAATCAGTTTCAATTTTAATCTCGATCAGATGAAAAAAGTAGCATTAGAATTAATTAAAATTAATTAAATTCAACGAACGTGTTGTTGTAAGTTTTATCTCGGGAATAAATTCATGTAGAAATTCAGCATGAAAGTCTTTTGGCATAATTGAAGATAAAATAATACATAGAAGATAAAACATATAATCA